GAAGGTTCACTATAAAGAGAGCTACTGTTTATATGTATCACTAATATAGATTTGCATCAAATATAAAATGATTATTTATTTGCAATTAACAAAATTGAAATTGAAATCCAATTAGAGCTGGGATCGCCTATTTTAATCATATTCCGGGAGATTGTCGCAAATGACAACAGCGCCAGTTTTAATTAACATTCACTTGCTGATGTTCCTATAATTTATTTCTCATTTTTGTGCATACTATCGGAATTTCTTTAACTGAACGGGTAAAAGATAATGGGGTACCAAATAACGATAATAATGATGAATGATATCTTTTTGAGATTACACAAATGTGAATTCTGGCTGTGAAAATTGTTGTTGAACAGAGTACTGTACTGTACTGTACCGTTCGTTTTATGCTTTACCTCATTTGTTATTTTTTATGGCTCTATAAGCCATATTTGAACTACACAAAGAAAAGAATACAGCTTAAGGTTCCTTTTATGCTTGTTAATAAGGTACACATGCTCTTGTTTATTAAGAATATAATTTTATTTTATATTATTATTGATACGAACTACTATGTATTAGTCTTTCCAAAATGTAACACTTTTTGGAGATGGTGCACTGTTCAGGGGACGAGAATTTTTAACGCAGATATATCGGTATACCATTTAAACAGGTGCCTTAGCTTATTGCTGTTATTTGACAGAAATGACGATATAACAATAACTCGCTTTAGCATAATAATTTATTTCTCTACATAAGTGTCATAATATAATTATTTCTTTATATAGATAATCAAAAATTTGCCGATGCTGACGCTTTGATCGAAATATTATATATAACATGTATATATTAATTTTAAACATTTTTGCAATCAATAAACTAACTTACTGGATTGAAATAAAATGGATTGAACTGAAAAGGAAATGCAGTACATGTAAATCATTTGTCAGAAAAAGATGAGATACGAAACTGATCAATTGATAACTGCTAACACGTGTATCGGTATTTTCAGCAAGATCTTCCACCTCGTGGATAACGATAAAATAACGCATAAAGCAGGGATGTACGTTACCAGGTGCATGTATTTATTTTTGGTACATAGCAAGAAATGACATCAAATAATAATGGTAGCTTTGTTATCATTCCGTAAATTTTTGCTTAATTTAGAATCTGTAAATGATTTTAGACATTATTTTTCAATTACGAACAAATACATGTACATGTAATTCTTGAGTACATGTATATGTGTTATGTAGTAGTGTCACGTCATTATCTGTTAATAAATGATTATATGTTTGACAAATAAATATAATACGATGAATCGAACATTTATTTAAAGCATTGGTTTGAATCGTTTATGTAGAAGAGAATAAAATTAGGAAGATAGACCTCGTTGATTACAAATAATGTAACAAAAACGTCTACGAATATTGAATATATTATTAGTATCGAACACTTTTAACTCAATTCTAATACTGACGTTTTACCACGAAAATCCTTAAAAATATGCGCCCCTTTAGCAAGGCGTATCTTTATTGTCTGATCTTGTATTTTTCGTCAAAAAGTAGAAACTCCCATTCAATCACCCAAATCGGTAAATGCTAATAATAATAATCCCATAAAAAAAATTTCCCATTGTTTGCGATTTTTGATCTGCAAAAAAGTTTTTTTTCGTTGTAATAAAGTAGATTATCTGGATAATGAATACCATTTTTTGAACATGTGTGTCCCTCATATCGGGTTTTTCTTGAAGCAGGGGTAGAAATTCATGTACATTCTGTCAAAAAGGAATCTTTATGATTGTTTATCGTTATGCTTAATGTTAATCATCGGCAAATACAGACTTCTTATTTTATATTTGTAAGAATTAAACTAAAAATTTCAGATAAATTAATATAACAAAATAATGTAAAATTTTAAATATATTAATTATATGTACCGTGTTCTAATACTCGGAAGTAATTATTGCTGTTGTATTTGAAACGAATTTCATTTAGAACGATAAATGAAATCCCATTGGTACGTTAATATATTTGGAAACTTCTATGCAGGTTTTCTATAAAGCCGAGATACAAGAAATTCTGGTCATGTGAGATTTTTATAAAAGGAAATACTATAATGGACAAACACCAGGTTAAGATATAATTTTGATGTTGTACATACTCTCTGATGCCATCGCTTTTGTGTGATGGAAATTTTTTATTCCTCCCTGCATTTATGTGAACAATAAATATGAATAAAAAGCTGAATGCTGACTAAGCTGCGAAGGAATGTGAAATTAATATTGTAGTTATATTTTTCCATTATTTTTGATTATAAGCTTATTGAATTATGTATATAAAGTTTACACTATCATTGTACAGATGCTTGTACATGTGTATATATATATATATATTCAACAGCTTGGCATACAAATATCACCTTTTTAGTCGATTATAAAGGTATCTAATATCTGCAGCATTGTTCAATAACACCATTCATGCTCATAACGATAAACGCATTTTAGCAGTTGGCTTGTGCGATAAGGAAAGCGAGATCATAGGATTGATTTGATATGGAAAAACGGGGGATGCATTTTTCCGCATTACTCAAAATACCATAATTTTCGGCATTATTTCTTATATAAACGGCTCTGCTAAAGTATTTCTTATCATATAAGCGACGTCCCTCTTGCTATTTAAGCGGTTCTACTAAAGCACTTCTTTCTAATCCCCTATAAAACTCTTCTCCATTATCATTTATTTTTATTCACTCTTTAAATTTTAACTATCTTTATTTATTTCTAAGCGGCGACACGAGAATCATGTCATTCCTTTCTTTCTTTAAAAGACGCAATCCTAAGATGATAAAAAACTCTGTAGCTTCAAGTGCTTCTTTTACACAAAACATACCATATGCCGAACAAGAATCAAAAAATTACCAGCAAATTCATCCAAAATATAATATAAGCCTACTCCCAGTCGACGTCTTACTCATTATTGCTGAATCTCTCGATTTACGTTCTATCATTGCCCTAAGAACTGCATCTCGTCAACTTTATTTAACTTTTCCCTACAAAGCCATCTTTCGTGAAATTCGTCTAGCTAATGACATTTCACCGATTCAATTAGACAAACTTCTGCATTTTCTTGAATCGATAAATGCAACTGGGTTTATACATCAAGTAACTTTTTACGAAATGTCGATTACTCACGAATCGTTGATTTCGATATTAGCTCGTTGTGAAAACCTACGCCAGCTACGTGTTTATGGCTGTCAAAATATAAAGCTTCGCAAAATTACGAAAGCTTTGGTCAAGTGGCAACACGACGATTCCGGTGATTCGCCAAAACTTGTCCATCTCAAATCACTCATTTTGACACGATGTGTAGGCGGTCCTCGACGCAACTATCCAGCTCTAAAAGTGAATAAAGATCTTCAAATACTTAAAAAGCACATTATCGAGCTTGCTGAATGTGATGATCGAGCTTGTGAGCTATGTACAAAGCAATGTGACATATGCGGTATTAGGTATAAATTTTGGGATTATTTCTGGATTACATGTAGCTGGTGTAAAAAACGAAGTTTTTGCGGGCAATGCGTTTTTCATGCATCTCAAAATAATCCTAATGCCAGAAATGTCTATCACGCTTTTCGGATGAGTATGTGTCAGATCTTTGACCTACCTTGCATTAGCAGAACCTAAAAAGTTTATTACATGTATTCGTTAATTAGCGCAAAATTATCTATTCATTAGTATTATATTATAATCATTATGAAATAAAATTCCCATGATTAAGTTTGGTACGAAAAATTACTCAACTAGTTAGCGATAATTATTTTTTACACGTATCTGCACGCTATTTCTGGAATTTATTACCGGGAAAAGGAGTGCATGCTTGCATCTGTTTAATCACTGTCAAAATCAAGCATCAGATGCTTCTTTAGAGAGGTATGTTTCTATATTTTGACAATAAAAGATTGATTCGCTGAAGCATGCGCAATTGTCATTTTTATATAGCATTGTGTAATATTTATTGTTCTTATGATTCAGTGTTACATTTTTTCATTATTATGGAAGGAAAATTGCTACATGTATATTCAATGTAAATAAATAAGTTATAATGCTATAATGAGCTTTGAACCTTT